AAATAAGTTTTCTTGCCATCTTAAGTATTAGTACTGGGTGATCTGTTTTCTTCCTTTGGTGTTGAATAAATTCTTGTCTGTAGGCTTAGGCTTTATAAACTGACTTGTGTTTTCCATCACTTCCTCCCCAAAAGTATCAACAAAGGAAAACTTTGTTGATACGATGATAACCAGAAGTCACTGTTGTATTGCTCTCAGATTTGATGGGGTGATCTAGGTGCTTGCTATAGAGTCATACTTTTGGCTGTGGTGCTTGCACTTTTTAAACTGTGCTCACATATACTTGGCACAACTTCTTGTAGAGCTGGGGATCTCACAGTTGCCAGAGTTGTGCCTCCTGCATAGGTAACATTGTGGATCCATCTAATGATTTCACACTTGGAAAGCACACACTTTGTTTTTGGTTGGGGCACACCAAAGTGATGCTCGGGGAATACTTCCAAATCAGTGTTCAGGGTCTCTCTTGATGCTATTCAAGGATCATGTAGTTCTGGAGATTGAACCTGGACCTCCTGCGTGTACACAGGTGCTCTTTCTATCATTAAAAATATATATCTATATATATATATATATCACTATGGGCTGGAGCGATAGCACAGCGGTAGGGCGTTTGCCTTGCACGCAGCCAACATGGCCAACCCGAGTTCGATTCCTCCGCCCCTCTCGAAGAGACCGGCAAGCTACCGAGAGTATCTCGCCCGCACGGCAGAGCCCGGCAAGCTCCCCGTGACGTATTCGATATGCCAAACACAGTAACAAGTGTCACAATGTAGACATTACTGGGCCCGCTCGAGCAAACCAATGAACAACGGGAGGACAGTGACAGTGATATATCACTATAATCTACTGAGTAGTTTATAATAGTTGTTACAGGCATTCAGTGTTCCAACACCAATCCCACCAGCTATGTGACCTCCCCTTTTCCAATGTCCCTAGTTTCAAATTTACTTCATATTGCTTATTATAGCAGAAATGGAATTATCAAAATAAAAAGGTAAGGTAAAGGCCCTCCCGTTGATCGTCGATTTGCTCGAGCAGGCCCAGTAACGTCTCCATTGGAGACTTTGTTGTTACTGTGTCTGGCATATCGAATACTCTCGGTAGCTTGCCGGGCTCTCCGAGAGGGGCAGAGGAGTCGAACTCGGGTCGGCCATGTTGGCCGCTTGTAAGGCGAACGCCCTACCGCTGTAGATTAATAAAAGTCAATTTGTGATGATTGCTGTATCTCACAGTGGTGTCACTTGTTGTTGGATATTATTAACCCAAAAGGTTTTAGGCTTCATCTATGAATTGCGCCTTTTCCTCCTCCCAGAGAAGCTTGTCATGCCCTTGCTAACATCCCTAATTTAGTTTAAGTCTATCTTTAACCTTTCCTTTGTATTTTACCTTTCATTGTCACAATTCCCCAAGTCAATCTTGATTACTTATAAGCCAAAACTGGTAATTCTGAACTTTGTATTTGTGGTGCTGTGTATTTGTACCTGCTTTTCTATTTCCCCTATAGCTTTTTTATTTTTTACTATAGAGCAGTGTTCTTTGTTTAAACACAGAAAGACCATCAATGCTATGCTCCTAATATTTAGGAGTTGATTGACTCTGAAATGTATCTTCTCCTGGGCATAATTATTTGACTCAGGCTTTGGTTGCTGTAGTTCCTAACACCCCAAAGGGGAAGTCCCGCTGTAGTACTGGGATGGGCCTGGGGTGAGTGGCAAAGCTACCCCGGTATCAAAATGGGACATTCTAGAAAGCATAAATGCATGGTCTTGCTGCAAGCTATTATGACTTGAGACAGGACCCTCAGGGGGAAGGACTAGCTGAACTGGTCTGAGGACTTAGTCTGGGATTTACGGTAAAAGTCTTGCTTGCTCTCAGAGCCCAGAGAACTAAGTTTTGGGATCCTGTCTCTTACTGTGTATCCAAACAAATGCAAGTATTGATGACTTATACAACTAGAGGGAAAGATAAAAGCAGTGTACATGTCCCTGGGAGACAGTGTCTCCTTGAGTTAATCTCCCCAAGAGAATTTCCTCTGCCAAATGTTTATGTAAATGATCAATCACACTATGTCCTTACCTCAAGCCCCCTCAGATGTTCTGTAAGTACGCTAGCAGCTCTGCATTAAACAGGCCATTTTCACCATCAGGCTGTGGTCCTCCATCTCCCTGTCTGTCTCTTTGTTGGGGAGGTGGCTCTGGGCCACTGAATGCACACATAACATTGTAGCACCCACACATTTTACATTGTGATCTCCATACTAGTCATTGTCTGAGGATTTAGTGGACCGGTTGGTTCTAGTTGAACCTTCTATATTAGTATTTTTACTCATTGAGCTTGGTGGTCTTTACAACTTTCCCATCAGATATGCTGTTGTCCTACTGGGCTGGCAGTACTGTGAACTTGGAGTTGCTGCATGGCTGCTCCAGGAGCTGTGGAGCTAGAATTTGGTTACTTGGCAGCTTGATGAGGTTCAGTTGTGGGGGTGGGTCCCTTTCTATGCCAGAAAGTGTCCAATGTGGCTGGGAGCTCTTTGTCTTCAGACAGAAAGGGGAATCTGCCTGACCACATTCTGAAAAGGCCCCAGAATTCTCAGCCCGGACTAGTCTAACCTGGGATCTTCAAGATTACTCTGGAGCTGGCTCCATCGATTGAGCCATTTCCCTGTTCCAGTAAAGGAATCTTAATCACTAGTCATCTCCTGATCATGTGGGCTGTCGTCTTTTAATGGAAAGGTATTGAACTTGTCGTAACCTTTCCTGTGAGAGGTTTGATGCTGAAGATTATCATTTGGAATGCTTCCACGTAATGACTATTTCTGACAAGTTATGTTGTCTCATGACTTAGCAAGGAAAGCAGTTAGCTCTCTGTCTCAGCCACCCCAATAAGCATGTCCCTGATACTGGACAGCTTGTCATCAATACTGAACACTGTTGTCATTATTGGCTAGACTCGGTGGCCTTTGGTTGTGGGTTATATTAAGGGGAGACTCTGAAAGCATTCAGCTGGAAAGCTCTTGGAGCATTGAACAGGCCAGCTCTGCAATTTGTGGATGGAGAAATAGGATGATCAAGGAATTAATTTAGGACTCCAATTAATTTGACTATAGTTCACTGGAATTCAAATTCTTTAGTTCTAAACTTAGTTGTTCTTAAAACACACTGTAGGGGCTTAATTGCAACACCACTATGTGTAGAATATTTTGTCTTGGGGGAGTGGAGGGTCCATGCAGTGCTGAGGGAGTCTGGGAGCACACTCAGGATTCTCAGCCAACTGGATCCAATGCAGGAATCTGAGGATACAGTGATGCTTGGCATCTGCAGTGCCAGGGAATATCCAGGTCACCTGAGTAGCACTTGAGGTTTTCAGGGCTACACCCCATGCTTAGGGGACCGTGAGGTGCCAAACTTGGGTCTGTTGCTTTTAGGGTCTTAATCCCTGTATTCTCTCCCATGCCCCAAGGTTTTTTGGCTTCTCAGATGAGCCCTGTTTCTGAGTGAGCTATTAAAAGGCTTTAATAACTGTTAAAAATTTTTGTCTCCTTGTTTGGGAATACTAGAGATTAAGTCTGCTTGGCTCTTTTGAGCCACATCCAGCAGGATTTACCCCTGGCTCTCTGTTCAGGAATCAGTCTCCTTGGTGCTAGGAGGACCACATGAGGTGCCAGGTCGGCCGCTTGCAAGAAAATCACCCTATTGCTCCACTGTCCTATCTCTCTGGCCCCAAGTATAAGACTTTAGAAATTGTAAATAATACCCGATTTGTCGGACCTCCAGAGCTGAAACCTTCAGGCAACTGACCCCTGTCAACAGTATCACATACTAACTTGCTTTTATTTCCCCAGCCTGAATTGACATCTACTCCAAATTTTGTTGTTGAAGTTACAAAGAATGACGGGAAAAAGGCCCTTGTGCTAGACTGTCACTATCCAGAGGATGAGGTATGTAGAGTGGTACATTAGCCCCTTGACACTTGTGAGGACACGGACTACCTCTGAGGACCTTGCTGGTGGTTGATCCCAAAATTTTACTAGCCACTAAAATTTTCTTACTTAGATAAGCAGAGCAGGGAAAGAGGTGGGGAGAGGAAGCTTAAAATTTTGATGAAATCCAATGTTTTCTTTGAATGATTCTGGCTTACCCTAGAAAAACCCATCTGTTTCCCCAAATACTGTTTTGTTCTCAGGTGGGGCAAGAGGAAGAAGATGAGAGCGACATTTTCTCCATAAGAGAAGTGAGTTTTCAGGCCACTGGTGAATCTGAATGGAAGGACACGAATTACACCCTCAACACAGATTCCCTGGATTGGGTAAGTACTTGCTAAGATGAAGGTGCTTGGGCAGGAAAAGTAAATTGGTACATAAACTTGTGTTTGATCCCTGGCACCATAACTCTTGTGTACTGCCAGGTGTGCCCCAAAAACAAAAAGATGAGGGTGCTCTTAGGCTTTATGGGGCTGTCCTAACTTACGGCAAGACAATATTTAAATGAATTTAAAAATGTCGAAGATTTTTTTCCTTAAACTAGTAAAACTTGTTTCTCTTGTAGGCTCTGTATGACCACCTAATGGATTTTCTTGCTGACCGAGGGGTGGATAACACTTTTGCAGATGAATTGGTGGAACTTAGCACAGCCCTGGAGCACCAAGAATACATTTCTTTTCTTGAAGACCTCAAAGGGTTTGTCAAGAGCCAATAGAGTAAAGATGACACAGAACATCATAATTTTGTGGCAGGCTTTTGCCAGTGAACATGTACTTCGAAATGGTTTTCATCCTAATATCATGGAAAGTAATGCAAATTTAAATTATTTCTGTTGCCCTCTTATTTTGCTCTTCATTTGTTCTCTACAAGTCTTATTTCTAGATTTTTGTATAGTATAATTATGGACAATACAATTGATTTAATCTCCTCCAAGGTAATTTGTCTTTTGTTTTTCCTCATTCTTCCTTTTTCCTCTCCATTACAAAAACACCAACAGCAGAGAAGTTTGGGAACATTTATTTATTTAGTTTATTTTGGCCACACCGGAAGGTGCTCAGGGTTACTCCTGGCAGTGTTGGGGATCAAACCTGGGTTGGCTGCCCACTGCTATTGCTCTGGCCCCAGCTTGGAAACTTTTAATACAAAATAAGTTTATATGGGTGGAGAGAGTTCGACAGTAAGGTGTATGCGTTACATGCAGCCAATCTGGTTTTGATACTCTGCACCACATATGGTGCCCTAAGCCCCAGGAAGCGTTATTGCTGAGTATAGAACCAGGAGTAAACCCTAATCACTGCTGTGGCCCAGAACCCAACAAAGTCTGTAAATGTTTGTTGTTTTCTTGTTTTAACAAGGCTCTTCTCAGATGGAACCAATTGTTTTCAACTCAGTGGAATGTTCTAAGTCAGGGCTGGCTCTAGATGATCACAGTCCAAGTGTCACAAGCCTGGATTTAAACAAAATGCAATTTAATTGTATTACATCGTGAAATTATCAATGGTTAAATGTAATCAATAATGACATTCAACAGTTAGAATTCTTACATGAGGGCAGTGGGCAAGGCACTTGCCTCGCATACTTCCAACCTGAGTTTAATTCCTAGCACAATATGGCCCCTCAACAGAGTCAGGCCTAAGCCCTGAGCACAGCTGGCTGTGTCCGACTCTCCCAACAGTCCCCCCAGGCCTCCCTGAAAATCCTATATATGAGATGAGGCTGAGTTCAGTTACTATTGTGAATTAACTCGGTGACGTCAAATAATTCATTAACAAGTCCAGCTCGTGGGTTTTGCTAGACTTTGTCTTGTAGACTCAGAATAACTGCCTTTGAAATTAGCTATAGCTGTCCTCAAACTAAAGTTAAACCCTAGAGATAGCTAATCAAATATCCTCACCCTCAGGAAACCAGTGACCTTAAAGATTTTAACCTTTTTTTTTTTCCCTTTTGCAGTTTTGGAGATTTGAAACTGAGATTTGAACTTTTGAAAGTTGGGAACTCTTTAAGCCATTATGCCACTTTTGCTTTCTACAGAATCAGAATTTAGAACCTATTAATTCTAGCACACCCTCCTTGGTCATCCCTAATTAGACACCCAAATAAAAAATTAGCTAATTTTGGCAGGAGGAGAATTAAGGGGAATTGGGGCCATAACCAACAGTGCTCAGGGATCACTTCTAGCAATGTTCAGGGGACCAAGCTCTTGATTTCCTGACAGCTCAGTCCCTTTATGCTAAGGAATTAATCTCTGCCAAACTAACCCTGACTATTTCCATAGATAATAAATTTGGCCTTCTTGTAGTCTAGCACATTCTGTTCTAGTATCACTCCTATACCTATGTCCCTTTGCTTCTAGATATTCCAGATTCTTTTTGTTTTTGGGCCACATCTTGGCGATGCTCAGGGCTTACTCTTGGCTCTACTATCAGGAATGATTCCTGGTGGTGCTGGGGGGACCATATGGGATACCAGGGACTGAACCCGAATAGGCCATGTGTAAGGCACTGTACTATACCCACTATACCGGCCTTTAAATATCCCAAGTTCTCGTGGAATATATTATCATCTGTAACACAAACTTATTTTCCTCTACCTCATCCTTGACTGAATTACCCTACTGACCACCTCACTGAATCTTGAATGTAATACTCCGCAAATTCCACTTGAATAAAACATTGGAATTCTAGAGTGTTCTAAATGGCCTACATCTAAAGTACTGAAATGTGACATAGCCTGCTGAATATAATTTTGTTCTAGCTCTTCACTTTTGCCATGACATCTCCCTGTCCACAGTCACCCAATAGTGGGCTCATCCTTCCCATAGCTAGTACTGTCAGTCATGTCCCTGCCTCTGCGGATGCGTCTGACAACACTTCCCAGAAACCTCATCCTCCAAATGGCTCCATGCTGACCATGTGTGATCAGTGTATGTGTGGACCCAAAACTAAAAACCCAATCCTTGTCTTTTACACTATATGCTATACTCTTGTTTCTCTCTGTTCTACCTGGGGCCTCCCAAACTCATATCCACTATATGAATCCTGTTTCACACTTTACAGTCAATGTTAAAAGTTTTTAAAAGTCAATGCTAAATGGCTCCTTCAGGAAATCTTTATCTAAAAAACAAAATATTTAAATAAAATCTTCATTTGTAAAGGAAAGCACCTCTAAATCCCCATGGACCTTTTCTCTCTATAGCTCTTTAGGAGTACTCATTACTTGTTTTCTGTGCATTTTCCATCACCAAGTCCAGACTTGAGCTCTAAGAAATAGGTAATTTTTAGTACAAGTGCATTCTCAAAACATTTTTTAGATAAAGGAACAACACATTGAGAAAACTTGATAAACATTTTTTAAAAGTAAAATAATAACTGTTGTCACACAATACTGTTTCAAAGAAAAGTTACAAGGAAACTGCACTTGGAAAAGACCACATCATGAATGAATTCAGCTGGAAGGAGTACTGCTATTGAATCAGCCACTGATTAAGCTGACTGAAACAGACATGAACTTTACTTTAAAAAAAAGTTTTAATTGAATATCTATGAGATAGACCATTACAGAGCTGTTCATATTTGGGTTTCTCTTACACAGTGATCCAACACCCATCCTTTCCATCAGTACATTTCCCACCACCTGTGTCCCAATTTCTCTCCCACCATTCCCCAACACTACTCCCCCTGGTCTCCCTCTGTTTTTGTATATTATGCTTTGCAAGACAAGTACTAAAAGGTCATCGTGTTTTTTTCAGGGCATTAAGTGTTAACGGGACTGTAAGGCTGGAGCAGCTTTTTGACTGGGTGGCAGCTTTGGGGTGTGGACGTGACTGCCGAGCTTTCAGAAGTACAGAGAGGTTGGGGGAGGTAGCCCGTTCCAACCCCAAGAAACCGTGGAGATTACAGTCACACAATCTGCATGCCCGAATTTTCACCCGATTGCATATTTCAGTGCGGTCCAACCCCAGATGGTGGAGTCAGGCCGGGGGCATGGCGGTGCTTTTGGATTGTGGAAGCAAGCAGCTGTCCATCCCCCTCCGATTTACCTGATTGCTCAGCCTTGTGTGGGTCCGAGATTAACTACAGCTTTTGATCTCTTTCACGATTTATTTATGGATTTCTGAAGCAAGGTCAAAAAATGAGCTTCTTTCTATTGCTGAGCTGCAGGTGGTTTGTGGGTGTGACTTCCATATACCCATCTTTTGATCTTTTGGCAATTTTATTTCTCAGGAATTTTGGTCCCAAGTTGTTGGGGTTTGGCCAGAGGCACAGTGGCAATTTTGGGGTATCAGGAAGCCTGAAGGCACCATCAGGCTGCTGATGCACTCTCCCAGCAGGTACACGTTGACCTGCTGTTGGTACATACCCCACCTCCTCCAAAGTAATTTTATAGTTCCAATTTTCCCTAAACCCTAGACCAAGGGGCTGGAGCAATAGCACAGCGGGTAGGGCATTTGCCTTGCACGCGGCTGACCTGGGTTCGATTCCCAGCATCCCAGATGGTCCCCTGAGCACTGCCGGGAGTTATTCCTGAGCACTGCAGGGTGTGAGCCAAAAAGCAAAAAAAACCAAAAAACAAAACCCTAGACCGAGAAGCTGTGTCAATAGCTTTTTATTTTGTTTCAGGATGCCCCACTTGGGGGTTGCTCTTAATGGCACTTGGGGAAGCATACTCAGTGCTAGGGATTAAACACCAATCTAGACCTCCTGCTTAAGGAGAACGTCTTCAGCTCACTGGGCTTTTTCCTGATCATCTCCATAATCTTTTGTGAGATACTGGTTATTAATGCAAGTTTAAAACTAATCCAGGATCACTCTATCAATTCATGTGGTTTTGTTTCCTTAGGCCTGAGTTGTCACGTGAGGGACTAGGGACGAACTTGTGGTTCTCCAAAGTCTCCCACTAAAGAGGCAAGCCTGCTGAGCTTCCTATCCTGCTGAGCAAACTGCAAAACTGGTGCCAGAATGGTCCACTTTGGATGCAATGGATATGAAGTGATTAGCTGAATCTGAGACCAATGATGCTAGCTAAACAAGAGGAGGAAGTATGGCAGTCTTCATAATTCCAGATTAACAGTTCTACAACCCTGTGCTATTTTGGTCCTTTACACTGTCAGAGAATGATGGGTTTTACTATTGAACTGATACATTATCTTCACTTTTCTATGCAAGTAAATTCAGAAAGGAATCCCTTTCAAAAAAATTTTTAGAGCATTACAAAGCCAGTCATGGTTGAATTTCAGTCATACAGTATTCCAGTACCAGTTTACATTTCCCAGCACCAGTATCCCCAGGTTCCAGCCTATTAACCCCCCCAACCCTCTTTGGCAGGTGCTTTTACTCTCTCTGTGTCTCATCATTCACAGCTATTACTGTCATGGCGGTCTCTTCTCTATCTTACCTAACCCCCACCCCCCCGTCTCTCTCTCTCTTATCATTCCCAGCTACTATTGTCATAGCGGTCTCTTCTCTTTCTTACCTACCCTCATCCCCACACACACTTGTTAGTTCCAACCACAGAAGGACCGGTCCTCCTAACCCCTGTTTACCCTAGTCTGAATATTATTCTACTATGTATTTTTTTATACCACAAATGAATGCAATCTCTATGTATGTCCCTTTCCTTCTGACTCATTTCACTCAGCATGATACTCTCCATGTCAATCCAAATATAGGCAAATTTTATGACTTCATTTTTCCTAACAGCTGCATAGTATTCCAACGTGTAGATGTGCCATAGTTTCTTTATCCATTCGTCTGTTCTTGGGCACTCAGTTTGTTTCCAGATTCTGGCTATGGTGAATAGTGCTGCAATGAACATAGAGGTGAATATAGTGTTTCTGCTGTGTTTTGGGGCCCCCAGGGTGTATTCCTAGAAGTGGTATTGCTGGATCAAATGGGAGCTCAATTTCTAGCTTTTTGAGAAACATCCATATTGTTTTCCAGAAAGGCTGGACCAGTGGGCATTCCCACCAACAGTGGGGAGTCCCTTTCTCCCACCTCCATGCCAACACCAGTTGCTTTTGTTCTTTTGGATGTGTGCCAGTCTCTGTGGTGTGAGATGACATCTCACTGTTGTTTTGATCTGTATCTCTCTGATGATTAGTGATGAAGAGCATTTTTTCATGTGCCTCTTGGCCATTTAAATTTCTTCTTTGAGAAAGTTTCTGTTCATTTCATCATCCAATTTTCTGATGGGATTGGATGTTTTCTTCTTGAGAGTTCAACCAGTGCCTTGTATGTCCTTGATATTAACCCCTTATCAGAAAGACATTAAATGAATATCCTTTCCCCATTCCGTAACTGTCTTTGTATTCTGGTCACTGTTTCTTTTGAGGTGGAGAAGCTGCTTTGTTTAAGATAGTCCCATTTGTTTACCTCTGCTTCCACTTGCTTGGTTAATGGCATTTCATCTTTGAAGATACCATTAGCTTCAATGTCGTGGAGGGTTTTGCATATGTTTCTTCAGTGTACCGTACAGATTTTGATCTGAAGTTGAGATCTTTAATCCATTTTCATCTGGCTTTTGTGAATGATTTTATGTAAAGGTCTGAGCACATTGTTTTGCATGTAGCTGTCCAGTTTTGCCAGTACCACTTGTTAAAGAGGCTTTCCTGGGCTGGAGCAGTAGCACAGTGGTAGGGCATTTGCCTTGCACACGGCTGACCCAGGTTTGATTCCCAGCATCCCATATGGTCTCCCGAGTACAGCCAGGAATGATTCCTGAGTGCAGAGCCAGGAGTAACCCTTGAGCATCTCTGGGTATGACCCCAAAAGCAAAAAATAAAGAGGCTTTCCTGCTCCACTTTCTATTTCTTGCTCTCTTATCAAAGATTAAATGATAATATATTTGAGGATGTGTGTAAGGATCTTCAACCCTATTCCATTGGCCTATGAATCTGTCTTTATTCCAATAGCATGCTGTTCTAATTATTACCATTTTGTAGTACAGTTTGAGGTTGGGGAAGGTGATGCCTCCCATCTTCCCCCCCCCCCCCCAAGAATTATTAGTGGAGGCTTGTTCCATATGAATTTCAGGAGCATTTGATCAATTTCTTTGAAGAATGTCATGGTATCCTTATAGGGATTCCATTGAATCTGTATAGTGCTTTGGGGAGTATTGCCATTTTGACAATGTTAATTCTTCCAATCCATGAGCAGAGGATGTGTTTCCATTTCCTGGTGTCCACTTTTATTTCTTGAAGTAGTGTTTTGTAGTTTTTTTACCTTCTTAGTTAAGCTGATCCCGAGGTACTTTATTTTCTGAGGCATGATTGTGAACAGGACTGTTTTTCATATCACTTCTCTCTCATTATTTGCATATAGGAAAGTAATCTTTTTCTTTTTTTTTTTTTCAATTGCTGGGTTTTTTTGTGTGTCATACCTGAAAGTGCTGAGGGGCTACTCCTGGCTCTGTGTTCAATGATCACTCCTGGTGGGGTCAAGGGATCATATGGGGCACTGGGGATCAAACTAGGTTGGTTGTGTGCAAGACAAGTGCCCTCCTTGCTGTACTGTCACTCCAGCCCCCCAATAAACTACTTTTTTATATACCTATTTTTAAGTTAGTATTTGTTAAGATAGGGAAAAAAACGATCACTCACTTTTAATGCTAGATTTCATAAAAGCCTTACCAGACAACTCATGAGAAGAGAAGGCTTTTCTTCTATTCCTTCAGTGAGAGAAAATTTAGGTGTGTGAGTACAGTGTGTACTGTGCTCACTCACAGTGTCCTCTATACAGGTACGAAGTTTCTGTTCTGTCAACTGTGGAGAATAAAAATAAGAAAGTTAACCTACAAACCTTATTCACCTAATAGCCAATAGGCTGAAAATCTTAGTTTTCAATCTAATAAACCAATATAACTGAATCTGTTGGATGGTTTGATTGCTTGAGCCTTTATAAGCAATCTTGGTCTCAGGGTCACAGAGACAGTTCAAAGGGCTTAAGTGCATGTAGTCAAAGGGGGTGCCCAACATTTTTGATCCTTAGCACTATCTGGATGACAGGGAGTAAATTCAGAGCACCTAGCTAGGAAGTAGTTAAGTAGTTAAACCCCTAACCCACCTCCCCAATAAATTAAAAGGTAAAGGTAAGGTAAGGTAAAGGTCCTCCCGTTGATCATCAATTTGCTCGAGCGGGCCCAGTAACGTCTCCATTGGAGACTTTGTTGTTACTGTGTCTGGCATATCGAATACGTCACGGGGAGCTTGCCAGGAATTTAAAAAAACAAAGGCATTTGGGCTTATGAGTATTCTATGAAGATCAAGCTCCATCTATCCCTTCATATTAACAGACAGCACTCCATTTCTACATAAAATGTTAGCACTCATTGCACGAGGAACAGGCAAAGCTAGTGGACTAGTGTCCCTCATGCTTTTGCAAATGTATCCTTACCAAGTGACAACACTGCAACACTGCAGTTCTAGATCTGTTTGTGCTAAAATAACTTGTTATTGCAGAGACAGTACAGCGGGTAGGGCACTTGTCTTGCACATGGTCGGCTCAAGTGATCCCTGGCATCCTATATGGTTCCCTGAGCACTGTCGGGAGTAATTCCCGAGCACAGAACCAGGAGTAACCCCTGAGCATCGCCAGGTCTGACCAAAAAAGCAAAAATGAAACAAAGCAAAAACCCAAAAAACAAAACCCAACCCCAACTTGTAACTGAATGATATAATGGAATGAAATAAGAGAATGAAAATAAACGTGCTTCACTACCTCTGTTCTGTATTTTAACATTGATGCCATAGTCTGAATAGGGGCTACAGTGGGTAGGGTGCTTGCATCACATGTGGCTGACCTGGATTCACTCCCTGGCAACACATCTGGTCCCCTGACCCCAGTGATCCCTATGCGCAGAATCAGAAATAAGCCCTGAGAACCATCAGCTGTGGCTCAAAAAGAAAACAGAGGCCAGAGTTACAGTATAGCGGTTAGGGCCTTGCACATGGCCAACTCAGGTTTGATTCCCAGCATCCCATATGGCCCCTGAGTAAACACCTGAACATCACTGGCTGTGACCCAAAAACAAAACCCAACTAGCCAACCAACAATAACTACAACAAAAAACAAAAAAAATGTCTGAATAAGTGTCTTCCACATAGTTTCATGCATGGAAAAATTTTTTGAAGATCAGAACTAAAACTTATAAAAGGGCTAGAGTAAAGCGGGTAGGGTTCTTTCCTTGGACATGGATGACCCAGGTTCAATCCCCGGTGATGCTCAGGAGTCTGGCTCTGCACACAGAAATTACTCCTGGCGGAGTTCAAGGAAACGTATGGGACATCAAAGACAGAACTCAGATCAGAAGTGTGCAATGCAAACGCCATACCCATTGTACTATTCCATGTTGTTTACAATTTCATCGTGCTGGTTTCAAGTTATAAAATAAGACCTAAAACACATCAGAATTTTAAAAAACCTAATGTGAACTAAACAGTCAGTGTCAAATGAATATAAGGTTGGGAAGAAGTTTGCAAAATATGCCACAGTATACTACTGAAGTTTAAGAAAGATATGTAAGAAGTGATAAAATCTATATGTGGAACACTTACATGAGAGGGGATGTATAGGCCACACTGACACATGACCACACCATTTGCTATTCTTAGGTTGTACCTAGAAGCAGAATTGCAATCACAGAGCATTGTAGTTAGAGCATTTGGAGCCCCAAATCTTTCCAGGCAACAAAATTTTTTTGGGGGGAAAGGGGGGTTCCACTCACCTTTGAGTGAGGATAGGAACCAATAATGCTGAAAAGGTTTTGAAAAATTCTTACTTTGTACACACAGGACAAATGAGGGGATTTGTTTCCCACTCAGCCAGTATGATGTTGAAGCACTTCTCATCGAACTGCAAACTCTTTTCATACTCTCTAATGATGGACTGCTCTGTAAGAGAAAGGACAGTTGGAGTGCTTCATCATGCTTTCATCATTTGGACTGTCCTGTCTTTAATGCTATGTAAGTTTCACTAAGCAAGTCTTTCTCCACCGAAGAGAAAAATTTCAGACAAAAATCACTAAATATTTGTGATCCTTCAAGCACTGCAGGAGTACTCTCTGAGCACATACCAGGAGTAGCTCTCAAGCACAGTAGAAAATAAAAAAGAAAGAAGCTTAGAGTGTAAGGGACAGGCCCAAAATGGACTACCACCAGAATTAATTTAGCTTAGCTTAATAGGAACCTGCATTGCAAAATAACTTGTTTTTCAAGGAGCAGGTCTAGATAAGCTTTTTCAGATCCGCTTTATAGGAGCCTGCACTGCAAAATAACTGGTTTTTCTGCCCCTGAGCAAGGAATTCAGATACAGGTACTCGAAGGGTGGGGGTCAGACCAGATAACCGGATGTCTCTCACAAGACCCGTGTTGCAAGACCCAGGACTGCCTTAAAAACCTGTCAGTTCCTAAGCACCGACGCAAAATGCTGATCTTTAAACTATAGGCTAAGAAGTGATGTACCCTTAATTGGATTGGTTAAGAAAGCATATGTTGTTACAAATCTATTGGCTATGAAATGCGCGGGCTTTGCTGTAACGGCCAGTGAAAGCCTATATAAGATCCCCTTTGAGGAGGTTCGGGGTCTTGCCTCACCTAACTGACCTGCGTGTCTGTGTAGGCGGCTTGACCCTGGCTAGCCAGTTTTACAATAAACCTTGCTTGCTGTTTGCAGTCTCTGGAGTCTCTTTGTCATTAAAGGGAGATCACGATCTGCGCCCTAACAAGAGTAGCTAGTGGCCCTAAGACTCTCCTTGGTGGATGACAGATCCCTTTCTGGCCTTATATAGCTGTCAAACTGAATTTTTTTTATTTAGAAGACCATAGAAAATTATTGATAAAATTAGGAAAGCGATAACCATTTATCCTCCTTGAAAATACCAGTTGAAAAGTTTCTTGACTCTGTCTTCTGTGGGCAGTGTTTGAACCAGAAGTGGCCAGCTCCATGAAAGCGCAGGCTTGCATTTCCTGTGTCTGAATTACCACTCACTCTTTCCCTTCCCTAAAACTAAACTTTTTAGCAGGGACAACTATAGTGTCAGTGAAGAATATGTAAAATTAGCATGTTGACACCCTAAGAAGCAATGGTGGGCGTGTTAATAAGAAATGGGACCTCTGAGGGAGACTTAGATGATGAGGGTAACTTAGATGAGATTCTGAGAGGGCAGCACCCTGTTGGAGTACACGGAGCTTAGGTTTATCAGGTTGCACCCATCACAGTGCTCCCGAGTCACTCCCATTACTTTGCCTGTAACCACTTCTATGCTCTTTTCCCCAACCAAATCCTGCTTAGACAATGAAGCTGTACTGTAAGTTAATATTGCCTTTCTCCTCTCATGTCTTTTGAGCAGTTTACTTTAATGCAATGTCCTTTTGTATAGATACAGGAAGACAATTAATATTATGCTTTATAACTTAGGAATTGATTGGCTTTGAATATTATTCACTCCTGGGCATCTGCCTTCTCAACTTAAGCCTCAGTTGCCCTCACTTCCTAGCACCCCAAGGGCAGGGTCCCGACATGGGACTGGATGGAACCAGGGCAAGCCGGTAAGTTATGTGCTACCCTGGCATCGCGATGGGCCAGGCCAAGGTGCCACGATTCTTAACTATAAGTTAAGAGGTTGGTAAAGGTAAAGGTAAAGGCCCTCCCGTTGATCGTCGATTTGCTCGAGCGGGCCCAGTAACGTCTCCATTGGAGACTTTGTTGTTACTGTGTCTGGCATATCGAATACTCTCAGTAGCTTGCCGGGCTCTCCGAGAGGGGTGGAGGAATCGAACTCAGGTCGGCCATGTTGGCCGCTTGTAAGGCGAACGCCCTACCCGCTGTGTGATCATAGGCAAATGATGTCATGATCCAAAAGTAACGACGAGACTAGGGCCCTGCTGCTAGGAATAGGAAAGATATCTGGCGTGAGCACTGCAGTCTGAGATCTAGATGGCCCTAGGAGAGCAATTCTATAAGCTCAAAGTATTTCTTACTGTGTCCATACAAAATGATTAATATTATGTATGCTTATATGTTGGTTGGACAAGGAGAGGAGAAACACGTCCTAGAAGCAGTTTCCTGTGTGTCCTGACTAGCTTGGATGAGACTGCTTTCTCCCCTTCAAACTGCCTTCAGTAAATGATTTCAGTATATTGAGGTAGTTTCTCTTATCTCACAGGAAGCTAGCTGGCCTTAGGTATACAGATCCCAGGTGCTAAGCCAGGCCTGGTCTTTGGGAATGTAGATGCCTGGCTCTAGGCTGGCTGATTTTGGAGATGTAGATTCCAAGCTCTAGCAGACTGGTCTTTGTTGTGCTAATCTAAGTACTTGTAGCTTGTAAAAAGGTGAGGCCAGGATTACTGGCCTGCGGATGTAAAGAAACAATGTATGTTTTGCCTCAGTGTTCTTTCTGTAACTCCTTTTGATGACATCACTATATTGCGCCCTTTAGAGGTACTATGATCTATATAAGGGAGATTTCAGGGTCCTCTGGGGGGACATGTGCATCAGACAACCTGGGAAGATGGGGCTGAGGACAGAAGCTGAGAGAACAAAGGCGCACGTGCTTGAGGATTCCTGAGGCCTCCATGACATACATCTCTTCCATGTAATAAACGGCTGCTAAGACCAACCAGCTTGGCCTCGTTTCCTTCCTTCGCCTGATCATCGCCATCGACCTCCGTGGAGTGGGGAAACGGCCTGACCACCGGCCTTTTATTTTTTGTGTTTACACATACCCATGATGCAGTAAGTCAATCCCCCACTAGCCACTTCACCACATCTGCTGGACCCACAGACTGCTCAACCTCCAGAATATTGAGAAATAAATTCTGTTGTTTATAAGAAAAAAAGAAACAAAAAATTCACTGAATATTTAAAGCTCTATTGGGCTAGCTTCATCTGGGACTGGAGATCATATAAGTAAGATCACATGCCTTGCATATGATCTCTGACATTGCATAGTACTCTGAGCACCACCAGAGGTCACTCCTTAGCACAAAGCCACTAGCACTACTAGGTATAGGCCACCTCATGCCCCTGCAAAAGGCTAGATATATCTTCGATTCCTGTATTTCCTCCTTGTGAGCACAAGAGGTGGAGTGGCAAGACAAAGGCACAAGAAGACAGCTTTCACATCTGGAGGCAATAGAAATAAAGATGTAGAGTGTCAGCGTCCCAAGGGACAACAGGAGAAAGGTGACACGGGGCTTTTATGTTTTTAAGTTTTTTATTTTTTTTTTTGCTTTTTATGGGTTACACCCGGCGATGCACAGGGGTTACCCCTGGCGGTGCTCAGGGGACCATATGGGATGCTGGGAATCGAACCTGGGTCACCACATGTAAGGCAAACACCTTACCTGTTGTGCTATTGCTCCAGCCCTGGGGCTTTTATTTCTGATAGTGGGATCATGCTGCTTATTTAAACTACTCTATTCGAGAGAGTATGGGGAATATTTTCTGCCATGGAGGCAGGGGGAGGGTGGGAAAGGGAGAGTATACTGGGGATATTGGTGGTGAGGAATGTGCACTGGTGAAGGGATGGGTGTTTGATCATAGTGTGACTGTAACCCAAACATGAAAGCTTGTAACTATCTCACAGTGATTCAATAAAAGAAAAAAAAAGTGCTCTATTCTCACTGTCCATATATTGTCTGTGTTGTCCAGAAATGGTATGTTCACTCAACAAATAATGCTACAATATCTGGCTGGAGCGATAGCACAGTGGGTAAGGTGTTTGCCTTGCAAGAGGCCAATATGGCCGACCCAAGTTCGATTCCACCGCCCCTCTTGGAGAGCCCGGCAAGCTAATGAGAGTATCTCGCCCGCACGGCAAAGCCTGGCAAGCTCCCCGTGACGTATTCAATATGCCAAACACAGTAACAAGTCTCACGATGGAGATGTTACTGGGCCCGCTCGAGCAAATCGATGAATAACGGGAGGACCGTGACCGTATCTAATGTGTAGAAGGCCAATGGTACAAAAACCAAAACAAAAATGGGTCTCTGCTCTTAGTTTGCTCACAATCTACATTTCTGAGCAGGAATTAGCTAATCACACAGTTCATAGGCCATATCAACTCACTTTTAGTTTTGTAAATAAATTTATATTGATACATAGCCATGTTCATTTACTTTGGTATTCTGTATGGCTATTTTACAGTATAATTGCAGACTTGAAGAACTGTAACAAAGACAGTATGGACCACAGTTTAAAGTAATTATTGGTATCAGGAGTTTTAGACTAAAGAGACAGGGATTGGGGACTCACTTAGAAGTCTATGTATGTTCCTTTGATCCCTGCCAGAAGTTATCCCACAGAGCATAGCTAGGAGTAGCTACAGAGTACTGCTTGGTATGGCCAAGCCAACTAGTATTAAAAGATTAGAAGCGGGGGGGGGGTGGGGGGGAGTGGGGAAGCACTACGCTATACACACAGAGCCCCAGGTTTGATCACCAGCACTGCTTAAACCTCTGAGTACCACTGGATGTAGCCCAAGTGATTCCAGCATTGTTGGGGCATAAATCCCTCCAGAGGAAAAAAAAATACTATTTGACCCATCAAAGAAAAAGTCTGCCAGTTACTGCTAGAGCATTCCTTATGACCGAATACAGCAAAAAAAGAAAAAAAAAGAATTATTACCACTTAAAATTTTTTAGTTAAATATATATGTGAATGGCATCATGGATGGAACTCACAGGTGCAAAGTTGGCACTTTTAGCTAATCAGTCACCTCCAGGGCTCCTATTATTAACCTACTAATAGGTAGGAAAACAGAATATACATGGTAACTGTATTCACAATACTGATCTGTTTCCCAACTCCCCCTAACTAGCTGTGCAATCTGTGTAAAATATGACTATCTCTTCTTTATATTACTATGTACTCGTTTTTGTTTTTCTGGCCACATCTGTTGGTATCTGGGGCCACTCCTGGCTCTGTGCCTGGAAGGGCTGGGGAGGTGCTCCTGTTAGTGCTCAGAAAACCCTGTGGTGCTGGGGATTAAACTCAAGTCTCCCATATGCAAAGCATGAACTCCACTGACTGAACTATACCTTTCAGCCCCTCTACTACAATCTTGAGAATATTTATAAGGAGAAAAATGTATCACTGAGTGAAGTTTGAGAAAGTCTGGTACACTCAGCCAGCCAAAAAATAGAGTAAAAATAGAGTTTTCTTGGACCAGATAGTACAGTGGTTAAGGTACTTGTCTTGAATCCTGCCAACCCTGGTTTGAATCCAGTGCCAGTGCCAGTCAATGGCACTCTAGGTAGTCTCCTACTCAGCACCAGGAATGGCCCCTTAGCACTGCCTGATGTGACTCACAACAAAAGCAACAAGAGCAGTCTTCATTCAACCTAAGTTGGAGGTAGAGAAAAGGGAAGCTAAGCACTAATTTTGTTTTAAAAAATGGGTCAGCATTATAAGTTATTATCTGCTCCCAGAATACCTTGGTCAAACAACTCTTGTTGGATTTCTTCCAGCACAGTCAAATCCATTAGCTCCTCCAACTGCAAGGAAAAGTATGGTCAGATTTTTAAAATTTTTTTTTGCTTTTTGGGTAACACATGGCAATGCACAGGGGTTATTCCTGGCTCATGCACTCAGTAATTACTCCTGGCGGTGCTCGGGGGACCATTTAGGATGCTGGGAATCGAATCTGGGTTGGCCGCGTGCAAGGCAAACGCCCTACCCACTGTACTATCGCTCCAGCCCCAAAGACTTTTAAACTTATTGAGAGTCAATAGCACTGTAGCACTGTCCTTCCGTTGTACATCAATTTGCTCGAGCGGGCCCAGTAACGTCTCCATTCTGAGACTTGTTGTTACTGTGTTTGGCGTATCAAATACATCACGGGTAGCTTGCCAGGCTTTGCCATGTGGGCAAGATACTCTTGGTAGCTTGCTGGGCTCTCCGACAGTGGTGGAGGAATCAAACTCAGGTCCGCCAGGTCGGCCGCTTGCAAGGCAAATGCCCTACCCACTGTGCTATCACTATCAGTCAATAAGCTCCCAATTATCCATACTTGGAGGCTGGTCTGAAGAACCAGATTTACTGGAGGTAATCAGTTTAGTCCTTCTCTCAGTTTTACTGATAAAGAAGTAATATAGTTATACTAAGTAAGCAAATGATTAAGTCCCAGTTACAAAATAATGGCACCAAGTTTGGGGGAAAGAGTAGCAACTCAGTATGCAGTTCTGATAAAGCTATGCATAAACTCTAGTTATTTAGGGAGGGGCTGTAGAGATAGTAGAGCACTAGGGCATGTGCCTTGCACACAGCCTACCTGGGTTTGATCCCATATAGTCTCCTGAGCACTGCCAAAGTAATTCCTGAGTGCAGAGTCAGAAGCAACCTTGAGCATGACTGGGTGTGACTCCCCACCTTGCCCCCCATCCCCAAACAAAAAAAAAAAAAAACCTTTAGTTTGGGCCTCTATAAATTAGGAACAAAATTTATCCTTTTAGGCTTATGAACACTAGTTGTGAATATATGTGTATGAACATAGATATTTTATAAGCACATAAAAGGTGCTGCAACATTTTAGAGCATCTTGATATTTTCAAAGCAACTCCCATGTGTTTTCTTATATAGTACTCACAGTATTGATATTTCTCCTTTTTTTCCATTTCCATAGCACTGTCCTGTCCTCCCATTGTTATCGATTTGCTTAAGCAGGCACCAGTAATGCCTCCATTGTGAGACTTGTTACTGTTTTTTTTTTTTTTTTTTTTTTTTTCTTTTTTATTAGTGAAACGACATGAGGTACAGTTGTAGATTTACAAATTTTTGTGCTTGGATCTCGGTCATACCCCGATCAAATACCCATCCCTCCACCAGTGCCCATTTTCCACCACCAGGATAATATCCCTCCCCCCCCATCCTCCCATCCCCCCATCCCCCCCTGCCACTGTGGCAGGGCATTCCCCCCTGTTCTCTCTCTCCTCCTGGGCGCTGTGATCAGCCAAAGAGGCATTGAGTGGCGAACATGTTCAGCCCGAGACTTGTTACTGTTTTTGGCATATCGAATACACCACGGGGAGCTTGCCAGGCTCTGCCATGCAGTCAGGATACTCTGGGTAGCTTGCTGGACTCTCCGAGAGAGACAGAGAAATTGAACCCCAGTGCAAGGCAAACGCCCTACCTGCTGTGCTATTGTTCCAGCCCACACTGACATTTCTCCTTTTTTCCATTTACATAAAAAATAGTAAACAAAAAACCTCTAAGTGACAGAAAAGAATCAAGAGTCAATAGTGAAATTAGGATCAGGATCTAACTTCCAATCCAGTCCTTCTCCTGGAATACAATAAATGTTTTTTCCATTCACACCTAGTTCCCAGTACTGAGTTTAGAATAAAAAAATTCCTTTCTAAAATTAAAGATCCCTAACCATATCTAACAATTCAAAACTTTCAGGGGCTGATCAAGAGGAATGAAGTATTTTTCTTTTTAGTTTCATATGTGATTATAATACAATGATACATTAAGTCAATAGTCTGATATGTAAAAGCCATTAACCTAGAAGAGAGTCTAACATAAAAAATGGGAGAACCAGGGTTAAAGGTAGATAAAATTGTTGCTGGAAATGAATGGAGTTAGAGCAGAGCTTCTTAAAAATTTTTCCTGGCTAGGGTATCCTAGAGGAAAGGGCTATTCAGATAGAGAAGGGAGCACCAAATAAAGGATGTTTGGAGGATCCTCCCAGGAGGGGAGATGCATGTCGAAAGTAGACTATGGACTGAACATGTTTGCCACTCAATGCCTCTTTTGCAGACCACAACACCCAAAAGGAGAGAGAGAACACAGGGGATTGCCCTGCCACAGAGACGGGGGGATGGGGGGATGGGGGTGGGAGGGATATTATCCATGGTGGTGGAAAATGGGCACTTGTGGAGGGATGGGTATCTGATCATTGTATAATTGAAACCAAAGCACAAAAAATTGTAAATCTACAACTTTAAAAAAATAAAATAAAATAAAGGGGGAAAAAAAAAAAAAAAAAAAAAAAAATTTTTCCTGGCTAGAAAGCTACAGTACAGCAGATACAGCATTTGCCTTGCTTGTGGCAGATCTGGGTTCAATCCCTGGCACTGCATATGGCCCCTCAAGCACTGCTAGTTATGCTTCCCGCCTCGAGAGAAAAAAAAAAGAATCCCCAACTTTTTCCACTTCCCATGACCCCTTTTTCTATGAGGAATGCAGCATAAGCAAGTGCTACCAGAAACACTGGGGATTCAGGATGTGTTTGATTTTTAATTAATTTTTGGTTTTTGCACATTCAGAAATGTTTTACTATTGCTAAATTTTTCACAACTGCATTTAGATATGTGATCCCATACCATTTAAGAAGCTAGGGTTTAGAGAAGATATAAATCATTCTTGGTGTTATAGAACCACCTCTATAAAAACATATCCAAATCTGACCTGCGCCAAGGCCGCCGGAGCACTCTCCATTGACTGCAAAGTCTTCCATTCTTCTTCCATCACTTCCTGCACAAGAAGAGCATTCTGCTTTCTCTCTCCCGTATTGCCTCCAGCCCTGCGGTAACGGCTCAGGAGCCTGTCCCGGCTGTTTCTCATCCTCTCCAAGCATCCCTTGGAAAAATAAAAAAGGTAATTTAATTTAAAATAATTTCCTTACATTAGTTGTTAAATACTCTTAGTTTTTTAAAAGGTAGTTTCATTAAAATATTCTTAGGCTATTAAGATATTAAAGGAAATTTATAAAAATAAAATTTCAACTACATCCTTAACTAGTTATGTCTGTATAGTTCCCTCAAGTCTTTATCTACAGGTAGATAGGGGCAATTATGCTTTATTCATCTATATCCAGATAACCATATTTTATATTCTCTCTTAACTGTCAGCTTCCTTAGTGGCTGGGTGAAAATGGCTTAGTGTCACCTGTGCAAAAAAGGGGACATTTAGGTAGCTTTTAAAGACTTGTTATTCTGTAGATGCCAGTAGGTAGTCCTCTTCCTGTACAACAGTGGTTCTCCCCCTGGGGCAATTTTCTTCATTAGGGAATATCTGGCAATGCCTGAGACAATTCTCGGTGTTAAGTCTAGTTTACAAAATCCAGTAGGTAGAGAGTAAGGATGCTGCTAAAATTCTACAATGCACAGAACAGCTTTCCTACAATAAAGAACGGTGATTTCTAGGGTGATCCCCTTTCTTCTTTGGGGTGAGGGTTGGGTTTTTGGGTCACAGCCGGCGATGCTCAGGGATTAGTCCTAACTCTACAACTCAGGAATCACTCTTTGCGGTGCTCTGGGGACCACATGGGATGCCAGAGATCGAACCCGGGTTGGTCGAGTGCAAGACAAACACCCAGCCAGCTGTACTATGTCTCTGGCCCCTTCTTTTTTATTTTTAACTATTTCGTATTACCTTCTTGGGATATACCCATTATTTCTGGGATTCCGGGAGTGTAAGGCGATATTCCTAAGGCTTACAGGAACCATGCCGAGTTCAGTACGGGTCAGAAGTGAAGTCGGGGACAACACAAAATAATGTAGGCTCCTCTGGTCCTCAGTTACATTCCTCAAACCTCCAGTCCAAAACAAGTAATTGCTATCTCGCATCAAAGTGCCCTCCAACAGGCGCATTTGTTAACATAAAGGAGTACAAGGTGGTGCCCATCAAGGTTAACATAAAAAAAAACCCGAATCCAAAATTAAGGGTTCCTGGAGCTGGGTCGCCCAAGCAGCAATCAATCTCACAGTCAGCGGTCCCGGAGGAGACTGGAAGGTTCCACGACTTGGAGGTGCCTACACCTGCCTCAAGAGTTTCCCCGAATGGATTAGGAGACTGACGACTACAAGTCACCGTGTCCCAAATTCTGCGCTCACCCGCCGAAAACTCTCTTTCCAAGGCTGTGAGTTCATCAGTTTGTACAGAGAGCAGTGCGGAGAGCTTGACGACGCTGCCATCACGCTTCGCGGGAGAAGTCACCAGGAAGTCCCGCCTCCGGCGGCGCACAGAACCCTGGGAGTTGTAGTTTCCGGGAGCCGAGAGCGCCTACGGCTAGGAACCGTGAATTGGACTTCTGTTTATACGGTTCGGCTCCACCGGGGACAGATATGGGAGGGACGACTGAAGTAGAGACATTTGTAAGGAAAACCGAACCTAGATTAGGGGACGTAAACTGTTGTTTTGCCAACCGTGGGGACCCTGCGGTGCCCTCAGGACCTACCGTTTGAGCTATCTCAGCCCGAGAAGGTCTAGGGGTATGTTTTGTTCGTCTGGTTTACCAACGGCTTTCTTCCAGGCAGTAGCAGACTTTCACAGACCAAAGCTTTCTCTAAACTGGTTTGCTGGCCTCGCCTCTGGCCCCTTTGGCTTCGTCGGGCCAAAGGTTTAACTCTTCTCTGACCAAACGTTGAACTCTTCACCCTGCCTTACAGGTTGGCCTTGCCGTCCCCCGCCCCTAGCGCTAACCTCGTGCTTCCGGTTTTCTTTCTCGTTGATTGGTTGGGGAAGAGAACGACTGATCGTGGATTGGCTGCGCTCCGCGGCGGGCTGAGCAACTGGACTGAGGCGAGCAGTTGAGCAAAGATGGCGGCTGCCGAGAGTCCTGCGGGCGACCGTGAGCTGTGGCAGACCTGGCTTCCTAACCACGCCGTGTTTTCGCAGCTTCGGGAGGGACTGAAAAACCAGAGCCCAACGGAGGCCGAGAAATCTGTTTCCTCCTCATTGCTTTCGTCGTCCCCACTGCCGCCCCAAATAATGACGAGAAATCTGGTGCTGGGCCTCGGCGGTGAGCTTTTCTTGTGGGACGGAGAAGGCAGCGCCTTCTTGGTCGTTCGCCTGCGGAGCCTCAGTGGCGGCTGTGAGGAACCTTCTCTATCCCAGTACCAGGTACCGCTCTGCTGATCTTGGAAATGATCACGTCGCAGCTGTTTGGTGGATGTTGTGTTTTCCCTTTTGTTTCTTTTCCTGTTTTTTTTTGGTTTCTTTTCTGGCAGGTGTGCTCAGTTTTTCATTCTTTTCGTGCCGCTTTAGCACGCCCTCTTGCGATCTGAAGCCTTTCTTCGAATTTCATTCCTAAAACGAATGTTTGCGCCGATACTGTCAGGCACTGTCACAGTATCCCACGCTGTCAGGGCTCTTCAGTTCTCTTGCCTGGAAGGCAGGGAAGGGCCAGGGCATAATCAGCAAAATACGCAGGAGCCCTGCGAGAAGTCAGACCTCAGAGGGGTTAAGGAGGACACAGTTGCTCTTCTCGAGTGATGGAAGCGGCATGTCCGAGATGACGTAGACTCTTAACTTGCTGCCTGGATTTTTGTGAACTCAGAGTGGTGTCAGGTATATACATTATAGAGCGCTACGTTTCCGACCTGATGTGTTCATTCTTTCTTTGAACTTTTGGAAAGTTGGATCATACCCACAGTATTAAGGAGTTCTTGTTTCTGATGATCCAGCAGAGCGTGAAAGTGAGTGTGATCAGAAAATAATTTCCACTTGCTGTGATCAGACTTCTTCTGGAAGTGTTTCTAATCAGCTGATTCTTTTCAAGATTGCAGTGCATGAAGTGTATGTGACATTGTTTTGATTCTTGTTGGTGACAAATATATATCGACTGATACCTATAGATAAGATAGATAATTTTTCTTTCTTCTTTTTAAGAGGGGCTACGCTCAGCCGGACGGTGGGGGGGGGGGTCACTTCCTTTAGTGCTCAGCCAGGTGATTTGGTGCAGGCCTGGAAGCTGTTGTGGTGGGGTGACAAGCCTTGATCTCACTCTGCCTCTCACATGGGAGAGGTTTTGAATTGAACTAGATCCCAGCAGGTATCATCACCTTGTGGGGGTGATGATACCTCCACTGGGTTTGGCTGCCGTGGCCCCCTAGCCATGCTAGGGAGCCCTGGAAAAGAAGAGGCTTAAGGTCTTAAAGTCTGTTAATCTGTTTTTTTTTTTTTATGACATCTTATTATCTCATTCCTACTTTGGACAAACTTGCAGGCTATCGAATGTAGCCTGCCCACAGGGCAGAGTCTGGCAAACTCCCCGTGGCGTACCAAATATGCCAAATACCAGTAAGAATGATGGGTCTCATTCTCCTAAAGAGCCGTGAATATAATCTCAGGGCTAGGATGAAAGAGACGTTACTGGGGCCTGCTCGAGGCAATCGACGATTAACAGGATGATGAAATGAAAAATGAAAATGAATCTGGACCGGGGGGTATGTGTTTCAGTGACTGAGCACAGCTTTGTATGTGGCTTGTGTTCCTGGCCCTGCAAAACAAAAACAAACAAGAATTAAAATCTGTTTACTGTAAAATTTTAGATTTTAGCTCATAGAAATAATGATCACAATAGGGCTTGTAGTGCTGCATATGGCACAATGCGATTAAGTTTGTCTTATTTTTCTATACTGAGCTTCAAGGCAGGGACTATGTTGCGGTCTAAGAGATATACAGCGCATGAGATTGCATGTGGCCAATCTGGGATGTTTGATCTCCAGCATCCCATATGGTACCCACCACCAGGAGTAATTCCTGAATGCAGAGCCAAGAATAACCCCAAGTATCACTGGGTATGGCCCAAAATGAGAAAACAGGAAAAAAAAATAAGGGCAGGGTATGTGTCTACCATACTTATTTTTATACAGTGCTTCACAGAGCTCTGTAATGCATAAACTTTCAGTAAAAATTGGTGACTGAATGATTTTCAGTCCTCCAGAATTTAAAAAACTCAGATATACAACAGCCTAGAATGAGCTTCAACTGTGTTATTCAACAAAGCAGCAACTTTCAAAACAAAAACTATATTCTATGATTATTACTAGTGATCTATGATTGATATGTTCATATATCCATATGTAATTTTATGTATCAATATCTATATAATGATGGGTCTCATTCTCCTAAAGAGCCTTGAATATGGCACTATCCCAGGGCTAGGACGAAGGAGACGTTACTGGGGCCTGCTCGAAGCAATCGATGAATAACAGGATGGTCGTGATCATGATCTATATACTCATGGTTATGGGTATATTCACATATATGAGATACGCTGTCAAAGTAGAAAGATAATGCAGCTTGAGGCCACTGACAGAAGAAAGGAAAACAGATCAAAATCAGTGGAGGGCAGCTAAAAACAAGCCACAAACAAACCAGCTAACAATATAAAATTCAGAACCCACTTTCTAAAAATATTTTGGCTTAAGGTGATTCTCTATACTGCAGTTTCAGTATTTCTGAACGCATAAAGAAAATGGTTATGAGAAAACAAGTGGGAAATACAAATACAAGTGTTTTGTTATTTTTTTAAGATATTATTATTGAATCCCTGTGAGATAGACCCTTACAAAGATTTTCAGGATTAGGTTTCAGTCGTACAGTATTCCAATACCCATCCCTCCACCAGTGTACATTTCCCAGCACCAGTGGCCCAGTTCCCCTCTATGGCAGATAATTTTAATAGAAGTGTTTTTTTGGTTTTTTTTTTTAGGGCAGACGTTTCTTAGATAAAGCTTATCAGAGCCCCCTAAAATAGCACGTTATACTTTATATTTTTTGTGTTTTGTTTGTTTATTTGTTTTTTGAGGGCCCACACTTGGCAGTGCTCAGGGCTTACTCCTGGCTCTGTGCTGAGGGATCATTCCAGGCAGTGTTCAGGGAACCATATATGGTGCTAGGGATCAGACCCAGTTGACTGTGTGCCAGGCATACTCCTTGCCTTCTGTACTCTTTCTGGCCCCCTACCTTATAGGATTTTAATGTAACACTAATTATCACTTAATACTTTTGAGTTCCTCATTTATTGAATAAAACATATTGTGAGTTATCATTATGGCTGTATATTATGCTAAGACTTAAAAGACAAAGAACAGGTCTCAAGTAATTCTTAATTGTATAATAGGAGCAATAGTGCAATAGGAATAGTATTATCCAGAGTATGCTACAGAAAAATATTGGGATAAAATTCAGAAAAGATTAACACTTGCCAACACATCAAGTATCTTTTATTGGTAAAGTGCAAAGAGGGTAAATCTCTTAAGAATATGTTGTTGAGTGCCCAGAAAGGTAGTACAGAGGTTAAGGGATTTGCCTTGCAAATATTCGACCTTGGATTAATTACCAGCACCACATATATTCACATATGTTAGGCATGGTTTCTGAACACAATCAGGAGTAAGCCCTGAGCACAGGGTGTATGTCCCAGTAAACAAACAAAATTTAAAAATATGTCATTGGTGAGCTGAAAAGGGAAAATAAGGGCGTTGCAGGAAGAGTTGTGCAAAGACAGAACGTTATAAAGCATTATCAAAGTTAGTCTGATCAGGGTGTAAATTATAAGTGGGAAATGATACAGAATTGGCCCAGAATTACCTGACTGCATCTTAACCATGCAAAGGAAATTATATTCAGTGTTTATCAGAATAGATCTATTGCATGCATTTTAATAGTTCATTTTACTATTTTTTTAAAGTGAAACAAGATAGTTTTTTTTTTATGAAACTTAGATAAGAGGGAGGGAGAAAGAAAGGGATACAAGAGGGTATATGAACTTGAAAGAGTGAGCATACAAGCACAGCAACGTTGAGAGACAAGCAAATGAGGTACATATTCAAAGTGCACGAGCATGAAGAGCAAACTTAACATTACATAATACTTATTTATTCAATTTTTTTTTTGATGGCCACACCTGGTAGTGCTCAGGCTTACTGCTGGTGGACTAGGAGTCTATTTGGGGTGCCACGTTTGGACCCAGCACATTTATGTGCAAGGCAAGCGACCTGCCCACGGTACTGTCATTCCAATCCCTAACATTCCATTCTACATGGTTAAAAATTATTTCACTACAGGTTTTAGTACTTATCCAGGATGCTTCATTATCGCAATTATAAAAAAAACTAAAAATGTTGTTTTCAAGAAAAGTAACTGTCAAATATTATTTACCTTGAACTGAATATTTTAACCATTTTACTTTAATTTCCAGAGATTGCTTTGCATAAATCCACCTCTGTTTGAAATCTATCAAGTCCTGTTAAGTCCAACACAACACCATATAGCACTTTTGGGAATGAAAGGACTTATGATATTAGAATTACCTAAAAGATGGGGGAAGAATTCTGAATTTGAAGGGGGAAAATCAACAGTGAATTGTAGGTAAGTTGTATTTCCATTTAGTATTTATCTGTATATTTTGTAACATACACAAAATTATCCAAGATCAGTTGGTGGTTCTTAAGGTATGTTTCTGTTAGAATAATAAAAGTACTTCAGAAATATTCTTATTCAGAAGTACTTCAATAAATTGGCTGCTTATGTTTTACTTTTTTGCTGTATTCATGGAGGTCAGGTCATTGTTTTCAGGTAAGAAAAAATAAGATTGTGTGGGGAGAGTTTGTCCCAAACCTCCAAATGCTCAGTGGTTACTCTTGGTTCTGCATTCAGGGATCACTCCTAGGGGTGCTTGGGAATCATATGGGATGGCAGGGATCAAACCAGGCTCAGCCATGTGCAAGGCAAATGCCCTGCCCAGTGTACTATCTTTCTAGCCACAGAAATAAGATTTTTAAAGAACAGATCTTTTTTAAAAAATCACTGTTGTTGTTACTAGTTTTCAAATAAAAGAGTTTTATTTAAAGAAATTGGAGAGGGTAAAGAGATAGTATAGTGGGTAGAGCCCTTGACCTTGCACATGTGGACCCAGGTTCCATTTTTTTTGGCGTCTCATAGCTCCCCTGATCACTGCCAGGAGTAATTCTTGAGCTCAGAGTCTGGAGTAACTCCCGAGCATCTCTAGGTGTGCTGCAAAAACCATTAATAATAGTAGTAATAAAGAATAAAGAAATAGAGAAACGAGAGAGAGAGAGAGAGAGAGAGAGAGAGAGAGAGAGAGAGAGAGAGAGAGAGGTCGGGGAGGGGAAGAACCCTCAGGAGAGAATATGGGCTTTTACAGATAGATGAAATCAGGGTTACACATCTTAGGTTGAGTTGCAGGCCAATTTCCTGGGTGAAGACTGAGCCTTTTTTTAAAAAAAAAATTTTATTTTTATAAAGTTGTTCAGCGATAGCACAGCGGTAGGGCGTTTGCCTTGCACGCAGCCAACATGGCCGACCCGAGTTCGATTCCTCCGCCCCCTCGGAGAGCCCGGCAAGCTACCGAGAGTATCTCGCCCGCTCGGCAGAGCCTGGCAAGCTACCCGTGATGTATTCGATATGCCAGACACAGTAACAACAAAGTCTCCAATGGAGACGTTACTGGGCCCGCTCGAGCAAATCGATGATCAACGGGAGGGCCTTTAAAGTTGTTCACAATAATTGATTGCATTCAGTATTCCAACACCAGTTCCACCACCATTACACCTTCACACCACCATATTTCAAATTATTCCACCCTGATTCCCAAAGCTTCCCCCAAAACAGAACATAATAATTTGTTTCATATTGCTTGTTATAAATAATCTGCTAAAGATGATCCAAAAATGTTTACTTAGAGGAAAGTGTGAAAATTGTGTCACTCTGGCGCCATTAACCCATTGTATGGAGTATAAGATGTCACACGACAAAGAATGCAGCCACATGCTGCAGGAATTCTAACATTTTAAATAGGGTGATATAGCCAGAATAAATTTTTAACAAGATGGTGACTTTAGGTTCTGGTGGCATCTCTGTGGCATGTTGCTCTCTTTCTTTTCCGAGGTTTACTTGTGAGTCTCTGGATCATGGCCATTAATGAGCTTAAATGGAGCCAGACTCAGTTTGTAGGCATGACTGCCAGGCTACCAGAAGCACAGGGAGATGGGAGGAGGTCTCTGTGCAAGCCTGAGATTTGGTCACAAGTCCCACATACCCAAGGTGTTTGGCAGATTCACTCATGGATCAGGTTTGTCCGAGCCTGTGGAGATTAGCAGGGAGCTTGGAGGTGATAGAATTTTGAAGGTTTTGGCTGCTGGGGCTCTTTTGGAGTGGGTGGTGAGATTCACTTGCCCCCATCTGTGTTGCCCTGGACAGCCTGAGCTTTAATAGTTTTTCATATATATATATAATTTTTTTTTAATTTGTTGTCAGGGCCATACCTTTTAGTACTTATGGGGCCATGTTTTGCTTGAGATTTAACATGCACAAGTTATGCATGCAATCTGCCACTTAAGCCACATTTCCAAAAATTTGCTCATAAATTTAAGTTTACTTTTTAACTTTCCTTCTTGCTGGGGGTACAAGGGGTCATAGCTGCTGGTGCTTAGCACTCAGGGATCCCTGAGTGTGACTGGTGGACCATGTATGGTGTTGGATATTTCATTCTGGTCAGCTGCATGCTGTCCTCTCTCTCCAGCTATATTCTTTCTCCAGCTTTCTAAGCCCAGTCTGTTTTAAACATATCCTTTCTAAATGTACTCTTTTTTTCCTTTTTCTTTTTCTTTTCTTTTTTTTTTTTCTTTTCAGGTCACACCTGCTGATGCTCAGGAGTTATTCCTGGCCTTGCAGTCAGGAATTGCTTCTGGTGGTGCTCAAGGGGACAGTATGGGATGCTGAGGATTGAACCCGGGTCCACTGCATGCTAGGCAAATGCCGTACCTGTTGTACTATCACTCTGTACTCACTTTTATAATGGGAATAGTAGTGTCTGCCATTGTAGTTCCTTACAGGGTTACAAAAAGAAATACAATACTGTATTTAAAATTATTTGTAACATGGTAGTGGAGAAGCAGCTCATCCCAGATGGCTGTGGTCAAATACATCCCCAACCGTGGGCCTCTGGATAAGTGGCGAGCACTGCACTCCTGAGAGCCTTGGAGTTGTGCCTTCCAGTCCCTGTTCCCCACCCCAGCCCTCAAGCGCCCCATCCCACCCACCACAATAAAACCTGGTTCTTATAAAAAAAATTATTTATGTAATGCACTATAGATACTCAAATTTTGAGTATCTTCATTTTTTAAAAATTTTGACTGTTGGATGTTAGTTGAATAGATGCTTTGAGTGTTAGCAAAACTTAAAAGAAATTGAGGGAAGGACTGGAGAGATACTACAGTGAGAAGGGCCTTGTCTTGCTTGCAGCCAAATTCAAGTTCCATCTCCCGTTTCCCGTATGGTCCCCTGAGCACTGTCAGGTGTAATTCCTGAGTACAGAGTGAGGAGTAACCCCTGAGCATTGCTTTGTGTGGCACCCAAACAAAAAACAAGAAAGAAATTGGGGAAATGGAGAGATATTACAATAGGTAAGGTGCTTGCCTTGCATGTAGCCAACTTGGGTTTGGTTCCTGGTACCATATATGGTTTCCAGAGTTTTGCCAGGATTGATCCCTGAATGTAGAGGGGGGGGGGGGGGGGAGTTTAACCAGGCAAAGAGGCAGAGGAATGATAAACACAGAGTTGAGTTGAAAGGCAATATCAACTTGACTCAGAGTCATGTAACTATGAAGGCTTGGTTCCATTGCTGCTTGGGGTCTAATCAATTGACAGACATGGTGATGGGGTTAGAGAAAGAGCTTTATTGGTATTATCAGCAGGGGGAATAGTTGAATTCATCCCCAGAATGACTATCTTCTTGGTCACAAGGAGTTTCCATAGTGAAAGAAAACCAAAACCCAAAAAGGAGAAAAGAAATTTGACGGAAAAGTGAGCAGAGTGTTATGATGGCATTTTCTTTAGGATTTTATTAAACTTTAACAAAATGTTTTAGATAATTGTTGTTTTTGTTTTAGTACTATTCCTATTGCTGAGAGATTTTTTACCAGTTCCACCTCTCTGACGCTAAAGCATGCTGCCTGGTATCCAAGTGAAATGTTGGATCCCCACATAGTGTTACTAATGTCAGACAATGTAATAAGGTAAGATTTATTTATTTTCTTCCAATTTTTAAAAGTTTCTGTTCTTTATAGTACTGTTAATGATAGGGTTTTATGCGCATGTTCTAACACCACACATTGGAAGCATCAGAGTGTCTTATTTTCCTCCACCCATAAGAAAAGTTACTTTTTTTTAAATACTTTTGTGAGTAGGAAGATTCTATTTGCCACCTAACAGCCCTCTTCCGTGTCCTCTAAGAGTCAAAAGAGATCATTTTGTTTTGGTTTGGTTTTTTTTCTTTGTCCACACACAGATGTGCCTAGGACTTACTTCAGGTTTTATGATCAGGGATCACTCCTGTCAGTCTTGGGGGATCATATGGGTGCCTGGGATTGAACTTGGGTATGCTATATGCAAGGTAAGAGCTCTGCCCATATACTATTGCTTGAGCCCCAGAATTAGTATTATACCAGGTTTCTTTGGTGGAGTGTGGAAAGGGGTTTGTTGGACCACATCTGCCAGTTCTGGAGGCTACTCCTGGCTCTGTGCTCAGAGGAGACTCCTGGCAAATCTCAGGGGACCACGTGGGAAACAAACCAGAGTAAGCTGTGTGCAAGGGAAGCACCTTAACCTTTGTACTATGACTTGTTATTTTTTGTTTTCTTTTTTTGTTTTACCCGGCATAGAATCCAGGGTCTCACACATGCAAGACATGTCCTCTACTACTGAGCTGGCGCCCCACTAAGAATTTTTTAATTGAATTTATTCCATTATCATTTTCATTTCATTTCATTTCATCATCCTGTTAATCGTCGATTGCCTCGAGCAGGCCCCAGTAACGTCTCTTTCATCCTAGCCCTGAGATTATATTCAGGGCTCTTTAGGAGAATGAGACCCATCATTGTTACTGGTATTTGGCATATTTGGTAGGCCACGGGGAGTTTGCCAGACTCTGCCCTGTGGGCAGGCTACATTCGACAGCCTGCAAGTTTGTCCAAAGTAGGAATGAGATAATAAGATGTCGCGCGGCCGCGAATGCGGCCGCGCGGTTCCGGGATCTGGATTTTATAGTCTCTGAGTCTTGGCCGCTGATGGGATTACACGGCGCCAGGGGGCCAGGTGGTGGGTGTGACCCCCGCCTACTGGAATTTGGAGGATCTGGGTGGAAGATGCTCGACTCCAATTCGAGTAGGCTTGGAGGTCTCGGCCCCGGAACCCGCGTGGCTTTGTCCCTCTGCCAGTACCTTCAGGTGTGCGGAGAGTGGTCTCAGCATGGTGGTGGCTGGTCCTGGAGGTCTCCGGCTGCCGTAGCCCTGGCCGGGGCGGGGAGGAAAGCTCAACCCGCTCCCCTCCAAGGGACTCCGGGAAGGAACACCGAGGCGCGGGGGCAGAGACTGCACTGCTCTCGTCCGGGATCTGGATTTTATAGTCTCTGAGTCTTGGCCGCTGATGGGATTACACGGCGCCAGGGGGCCAGGTGGTGGGTGTGACCCCCGCCTACTGGAATTTGGAGGATCTGGGTGGAAGATGCTCGACTCCAATTCGAGTAGGCTTGGAGGTCTCGGCCCCGGAACCCGCGTGGCTTTGTCCCTCTGCCAGTACCTTCAGGTGTGCGGAGAGTGGTCTCAGCATGGTGGTGGCTGGTCCTGGAGGTCTCCGGCTGCCGTAGCCCTGGCCGGGGCGGGGAGGAAAGCTCAACCCGCTCCCCTCCAAGGGACTCCGGGAAGGAACACCGAGGCGCGGGGGCAGAGACTGCACTGCTCTCGTCCGGGATCTGGATTTTATAGTCTCTGAGTCTTGGCCGCTGATGGGATTACACGGCGCCAGGGGGCCAGGTGGTGGGTGTGACCCCCGCCTACTGGAATTTGGAGGATCTGGGTGGAAGATGCTCGACTCCAATTCGAGTAGGCTTGGAGGTCTCGGCCCCGGAACCCGCGTGGCTTTGTCCCTCTGCCAGTACCTTCAGGTGTGCGGAGAGTGGTCTCAGCATGGTGGTGGCTGGTCCTGGAGGTCTCCGGCTGCCGTAGCCCTGGCCGGGGCGGGGAGGAAAGCTCAACCCGCTCCCCTCCAAGGGACTCCGGGAAGGAACACCGAGGCGCGGGGGCAGAGACTGCACTGCTCTCGTCCGGGATCTGGATTTTATAGTCTCTGAGTCTTGGCCGCTGATGGGATTACACGGCGCCAGGGGGCCAGGTGGTGGGTGTGACCCCCGCCTACTGGAATTTGGAGGATCTGGGTGGAAGATGCTCGACTCCAATTCGAGTAGGCTTGGAGGTCTCGGCCCCGGAACCCGCGTGGCTTTGTCCCTCTGCCAGTACCTTCAGGTGTGCGGAGAGTGGTCTCAGCATGGTGGTGGCTGGTCCTGGAGGTCTCCGGCTGCCGTAGCCCTGGCCGGGGCGGGGAGGAAAGCTCAACCCGCTCCCCTCCAAGGGACTCCGGGAAGGAACACCGAGGCGCGGGGGCAGAGACTGCACTGCTCTCGTCCGGGATCTGGATTTTATAGTCTCTGAGTCTTGGCCGCTGATGGGATTACACGGCGCCAGGGGGCCAGGTGGTGGGTGTGACCCCCGCCTACTGGAATTTGGAGGATCTGGGTGGAAGATGCTCGACTCCAATTCGAGTAGGCTTGGAGGTCTCGGCCCCGGAACCCGCGTGGCTTTGTCCCTCTGCCAGTACCTTCAGGTGTGCGGAGAGTGGTCTCAGCATGGTGGTGGCTGGTCCTGGAGGTCTCCGGCTGCCGTAGCCCTGGCCGGGGCGGGGAGGAAAGCTCAACCCGCTCCCCTCCAAGGGACTCCGGGAAGGAACACCGAGGCGCGGGGGCAGAGACTGCACTGCTCTCGTCCGGGATCTGGATTTTATAGTCTCTGAGTCTTGGCCGCTGATGGGATTACACGGCGCCAGGGGGCCAGGTGGTGGGTGTGACCCCCGCCTACTGGAATTTGGAGGATCTGGGTGGAAGATGCTCGACTCCAATTCGAGTAGGCTTGGAGGTCTCGGCCCCGGAACCCGCGTGGCTTTGTCCCTCTGCCAGTACCTTCAGGTGTGCGGAGAGTGGTCTCAGCATGGTGGTGGCTGGTCCTGGAGGTCTCCGGCTGCCGTAGCCCTGGCCGGGGCGGGGAGGAAAGCTCAACCCGCTCCCCTCCAAGGGACTCCGGGAAGGAACACCGAGGCGCGGGGGCAGAGACTGCACTGCTCTCGTCCGGGATCTGGATTTTATAGTCTCTGAGTCTTGGCCGCTGATGGGATTACACGGCGCCAGGGGGCCAGGTGGTGGGTGTGACCCCCGCCTACTGGAATTTGGAGGATCTGGGTGGAAGATGCTCGACTCCAATTCGAGTAGGCTTGGAGGTCTCGGCCCCGGAACCCGCGTGGCTTTGTCCCTCTGCCAGTACCTTCAGGTGTGCGGAGAGTGGTCTCAGCATGGTGGTGGCTGGTCCTGGAGGTCTCCGGCTGCCGTAGCCCTGGCCGGGGCGGGGAGGAAAGCTCAACCCGCTCCCCTCCAAGGGACTCCGGGAAGGAACACCGAGGCGCGGGGGCAGAGACTGCACTGCTCTCGTCCGGGATCTGGATTTTATAGTCTCTGAGTCTTGGCCGCTGATGGGATTACACGGCGCCAGGGGGCCAGGTGGTGGGTGTGACCCCCGCCTACTGGAATTTGGAGGATCTGGGTGGAAGATGCTCGACTCCAATTCGAGTAGGCTTGGAGGTCTCGGCCCCGGAACCCGCGTGGCTTTGTCCCTCTGCCAGTACCTTCAGGTGTGCGGAGAGTGGTCTCAGCATGGTGGTGGCTGGTCCTGGAGGTCTCCGGCTGCCGTAGCCCTGGCCGGGGCGGGGAGGAAAGCTCAACCCGCTCCCCTCCAAGGGACTCCGGGAAGGAACACCGAGGCGCGGGGGCAGAGACTGCACTGCTCTCGTCCGGGATCTGGATTTTATAGTCTCTGAGTCTTGGCCGCTGATGGGATTACACGGCGCCAGGGGGCCAGGTGGTGGGTGTGACCCCCGCCTACTGGAATTTGGAGGATCTGGGTGGAAGATGCTCGACTCCAATTCGAGTAGGCTTGGAGGTCTCGGCCCCGGAACCCGCGTGGCTTTGTCCCTCTGCCAGTACCTTCAGGTGTGCGGAGAGTGGTCTCAGCATGGTGGTGGCTGGTCCTGGAGGTCTCCGGCTGCCGTAGCCCTGGCCGGGGCGGGGAGGAAAGCTCAACCCGCTCCCCTCCAAGGGACTCCGGGAAGGAACACCGAGGCGCGGGGGCAGAGACTGCACTGCTCTCGTCCGGGATCTGGATTTTATAGTCTCAGAGACTATAAAATCCAGATCCCGGACGAGACTATATTCCATTATCAATAAGATTAAATTTTTAGCAAAAAAAAATTGCTTCTCAATTTTATAGTTCCTTTGTGAAAATAGATATGAGTGGAGTTCATGCCAGCTTCAGTCAGCTTAACTAGTGGCTGAATAAATAGCAGTAATCTTACACTAGCACTGTAGCACTTCCTCCCATTGTTCATCAATTTGCTAGAGCGGCCACCAGTAACGTCTGCATTGTGAGACTTATTGTTACTGTTTATGGCATAGCGAATACTCCACGGGGTATTTGCCAGGCTCTGCCGTGTGGGCAGGATACTCTAAGTAGCTTGCCGGGCTCTCCGAGAGGGACAGAGGAATTGAACCCAGGTTTGCTGCATGCAAGGCAGACACCCTACCCACTGTGCTATCCCTCCATTAAAAAAAATGGGATTGTGTCTTAGGGCGTTCGCCTTACAAGCGGCCAACATGGCCGACCCGAGTTCGATTCCTCCGCCCCTCTCGGAGAGCCCGGCAAGCTACCGAGAGTATTCGATATGCCAGACACAGTAACAACAAAGTCTCCAATATTAATAAAAACATATATAAATTATAGATTAATGTCTTTTGCTTTACTGTCCAGATGGTTGGTATATAATGAAGAGTAAGATATGGTTCTTCTCTGATGAAATATGTTTCTAATAAGTAGACACAGATACATGTAATGGATGGACGGGAAGCTGGCAAAATTAGAGGTAGTGGTGAGATAACTAAGATGAGTATGGTTAATTACTTAAGAAAGAAGAAAAGACAGGTGCAATGGCATGGTGTTGGCCAATAAAGAATATTGAATGAGTGACTACAGAGCTGGAGAGAAAGTACAGCAGGTAGGGTGCTTGCCTTGCACACACCACGTTCATCCCCGGCACCCCATATGGTCCCCTGAGCCCCTCCAGGCATATTGCTTGAGCACTGCTGGGTGTGAACTACCTCCCCAAAAAAAACCTATGGAGGGCTGGAGAGATTGTAAAACTGGTAAAGTGTTTACTTTGGATGTGGCTGACTTGGGTTCATTCCCCGGCACAACGTATGGTATCCTGAATGCAGAGCCAGGAGTAAAACCTGAGCATCACCAGGTGTGGCCCAAAAACCGAAACAAAACAAAAGACAGAATTTTGAATAGAATAGAGCATATTTCTTCTGGTCCCAAGAAAACCTTTCTCTGTTATTGTCAGAAAATAAATGAAATTAAGCTACTTTGTTAGTAACAGCAAAGTCTTTGGCAGACATGTTGCTATGGTATCTCAGGCAGGAAAATTCCAGCTGACTGGCTAGAAAAGAAAGGACAATATGGAGAAATGAGAATTTTACATGCTGTTTTTCTTCTCTTTGATAGAATTTATTCTCTACGCGAGCCCCAGACACCCGTGAAAGTCATTGCACTTTCAGAAGCAGAAGAGGAAAGTCTAATACTCAATAAAGGGTAAATTTTATTTGTAATAATGAAGCTTGCTAGTACTGGTGGGAAGTGTTGGCCATACTCAGTGTTAGTTCAGGGGTCAATTCTAGTTTTTTCTTTGAGAACCATATGTAATGGCAGAGATTGAATCAAGTTTGGCTGCATGCCATGCAGATGCCTTATGCTAAGTGCTATATTTTTGGCTTTGTATCATGAAATGTCTAAAATTTCTTATTGGGGTCATAAGTACAGTTTAAACAAATTTACAAGGTTTTTCAGAGGTGTTTTTTAGCATACTTTTGGTAATGTAAGAAGTAAGCAAACTTAAGCAACGTGAATATGTAACAAGAAGTTAAAAAATCTGGAAGTCACTGTACCTGCTAGGTTGCTCTTATTTCTATAAAGTTCTAAAATGTGAATGGTTAAAACTGATTCACTGTAGTATCTTGAATAAGAGAATAACTTATAAAGTTGCAAAATTATAGAAAATGTGGAAGATGAGAATGTTAGATGAAGGTCAGTGTTAGATGAGAGAACACTGAGCTGTTCTCTCAGTGTGGACTAACAGACCAGCATCTACTGTTTCAGAACTTGGAGTGGAACACTTGTGACCAAGTTTCATTTATGAATTCTTCCCACTTACTCAGGGAAGGTTTCTGCTACGTTGACCATTAACAGAATCACGTAGTGAGTTCACAAACCCCATTTCTCGGGCCCCTTTATCAGTCTTTCTGGTGATTATGACACATGATCATCTACAGTGTGCACATATAGTGAAACTTTTAGTAGCAGTATTTGTTTTGTTTTTGTTTTGGCCTTACCTGACAATGCTTAGAGGTTGCTCCTGACAGTGCTCCATTGGATACCAAGAATCAAACCCTACTCAATTGCATGCAAGGCAGAAGTCTTGCCTTAGGGGTATTGTTTTTATTTTGCTTTGTACATTGGTTGCTGGGAATGGAACTTGGCTCCATATGTGCAAGGCTGCTCATCCATACTCTACTGCTGAGCTGCATCCTGGTCTCCTTATCTAAGTCTTACTGTTTTGTTTTGTTTTGTTTTTAATTTTTATTAGTGAAACACCATGAGGTGCAGTTGGAGACTTAGAAATTTTTGTGCTTGGGTTTCAGTTATACAATAATCGAGTACCCATCCCTCCACCAGTGCCCATTCTCTACCACCACTAATCCAAGTATCCCTCCCACCCCCATCCCCTCATCCCACCCTGCTTCTATGGCAGGGCACTCCCTTTTGTTCTCTCTCTCTTTTTGGGTGCTGTGGTTTGCAAAAGAGGAATTGAGTGGCAATCATGTGTTCGGTCTGTAGTCTACTTTCAGCATGCATCTCCCATCCTGGGCAGATCTTCCCAACACCCTTTATTTGGTGCTCCCTTCTCTCTCTGAGCTGCCTTTACCCCTAGAGTGTGCGGCTGGCCTCCAAGCCATGGAGTAAACTTCCTGGTACTTATCTATTCTTGGGTGTTAGTCTCCTATTTTGTTACTTTATGTTCCCCAAATGAATGCAATCTTTTTATGTCCCTCTCTTTCTGACTCATTTCGCTTAGCATGATACTTTCCATGTAGTACCACTTGTATGTAAATTTCATGACTTTATCCTTTCTAACAGCTACATAGTACTCCATTGTGTAGATGTACCAAAATTTCTTTAACCAGTCATCTGTTCTGGGGCAGATTTTTCCAGATTGTAGCTATTGTAAACAGTGCTGCAGTGAACAAATACGTGTAGATATCACTTCGATTATACTTTTTTGCCTCTCCGGGGTATATTCCCAGGAGTGGTATTGCTGGGTCAAATGGGAGCTCAATTTCTAATTTTTTGAAAATCTTCCATACTGTTTTCCAAGGGGCTGGAGCGATAGCACAGCGGGTAGGGCGTTCGCCTTACAAGCGGCCAACATGGCCGACCCGAGTTCGATTCCTCCACCCCTCTCGGAGAGCCCGGCAAGCTACCAAGAGTATTCGATATGCCAAACACAGTAACAACAAAGTCTCCAATGGAGACGTTACTGGGCCCGCTCGAGCAAATCGACGATCAACGGGAGGGCCTTTACCTTTACCTTACCTTTTACTGTTTTCCAAAGGGCTGAACCAGTCGACATTCCCACCAGCAGTGAAAGAGGGTACCTTTCTCGCCACATCCATGCCAGCACTGGTTGCTTTTGTTCTTTTGGATGTGGGCCAGTCTCTGTGGTGTGAAATGATATCTCATTGTTGTTTTGTTCTGCATCTCCCTGATATTAATGATATAGAGCATTTTCTCATGTGCCTTTTAGCCATTTGGATTTCTTCTTTGAGAAAGTTTCTGTTCATTTCGTCACCCCATTTTTTGATGGTGTTGGATGTTTTCTTCTTGTGTAGTTCAACCAGTACTTTGTATATCCTTGATATCAACCCCTTGTCAGATGTATATTGGGCAAATATCCTTTCCCATTCTGTACTGTCTTTGTATTTTGGTCACTGTTTCTTTTGAGGTGCAGAAGCTTCTTAGTTTAAGATAGTTCCATTTGTCTATCTCTTTTTTCACTTGCTTGGCCAGTGGTGTGACAACTTTGAAGATACCTTTAGCTCCAATGTCATGGAGGGTTTTGCCAACTTTGTCTTCATTGAACTTTATGAGTTTCGGTCTGATGTTGAGGTCTTAAATCCATTTCGATCTTACTTTTGTACATGGTGTTAGGCAGAGATCTAAGCCCACTTTTTATCATGTAGCTGTCCAGTTTTGCCAGCACAATTTGTTAAAGATGCTTTCCTTGCTCCACTTCACTTTTCTTGCCCCATTATCAAAGATTAGATGATCATATGCCTGGGGAGAGATGTCAGTATATTCAACCCTGTTCCATTGGTCTGCAGCTCTGCCTTTGTTCCAATACCATGCTGTTTTAATTATTACTGCTTTGTATTAGAGTTTGAAATTTGGGAGGTTTATTCCTCCCATTTTCTTTTTCCCTAGAATTGCTTTAGCTATTCGTGGGGGCTTTATTGTTCCATATAAATTTCAGGAGTGTTTGCTCCATTTTTCTGAAGAATGTCACGGGTATCGTAATAGGGATCGCATTGAATTTGTACAGTGCTTTGGGAAGTATTGCCATTTTGACAATGTTAATTCTCCTGATCCATGAACGGGGGATATTTTTCAATTTCCTCGTGTCCTCTTTTATTTTCTGAAGTAGCATTTTGTAGTTTTCTTTGTACAGGTCCTTTACTTCATTAGTTAAGCTAATTCCTAGGTGTCAATTTTCTGGGGCATAATTGTGAATGGGATTGTTTCCTTCCTGTCACTTTCTTCTCTCTCACTATTTGAGTATAGGAAAGCCAAGGACTTTTGGGTATTGATTTTATAGCCTGCCACTTTACTATACAAGTGTATTGTTTCTAGGAGTTTTATGGTAGAGGTTTTAGGGTTCTCTCCCTATAGCATCATATCATCTGCGAATAGTGAGAGCTTGATTTCTTCCTTTCCTACCTGGATGCCCTTAATATCTTTTTCTTGCCTAATCGCTTTTGCAAGTACTTCCAGTACTATATTGAATAGTAGTGGGGGGAGTGGGCATCCTTGTCTGGTCCCTGATCTTAACGGGAAGGCTCTTAGTTTTTCCCCATTGAGGATGATGCTTGCAGTAGGCTTGTGGTAGATGGTTTTAACTATATTGAGGAAAGTCCCCTCTATCCCTTTTTGGCGAGGGTTTTCATCATAAACAGGTGCTGGATCTTGTCAGATGCTTTCTCTGTATCTATTGGTATGATCATATGATTTTTATCTTTTCTTTTGTTGATATGATGGATTATGTTGATTGATTTCCGAATGTTAAACCATCCTTGCATCCCCGGGATGAATCCCACTTGGTCATGGTGTATGATCTTTTTGATGAGTTGTTGAATTCTATTTGCTAGTATTTTGTTGAGAATCTTCGCATCCCTGTTCATCAGGGGTATTGGCCTGTAGTTTTCTTTTCTTGTGGTGTCTTTGTTTCCTTTTGGTATTAGAGAGATATGAGCTTCATAGAAACTGGGAGAGTTTTTGTTTTTTCAGTTTCCTGGAAAAGCTTGCAAAGAACTGGCAATAGATCTTTAAATGTTTGGAAAAATTCGCTAGTGAATCCATCTGGACCTGGGCTTTCGTTTTTGGGGAGACTTTTGATTACAGTTTCAATTTCCTTGATGTTAATAGGTCTATTCAGGTACTCTAGATCTTCTTGATTCAGCTTTGGGAGATTATAGGAATCCAGCAATTTATCCATTTCTTCCAGGTTCTCTTGTTTCGTGGCATACAGACTTTCAGAGTAGTCTCTATGATCTTTCGAATTTCTTTGGTTTCTGTTGTGATATCCCCATTCTTATTTCTGATTCAGTTTATTAGGGTTCTCTCTCTCTCTCTCTCTCTCTCTCTCTCTCTCTCTCTCTCACTCTCTGTTTCTTTGTGAGTGTTGCTAGTGGTTTATCTTCTTTATTTTCTCGAAGAACCAGCTCTTGGTTTCATTGATCTTTCAGATTGTTTCTTGGTTTCCATGTCGTTGATTTCTGCTCTAAGTTTTATGATCTCTTTCCTTCTGCCTGATTTGGGCTCCTTCTGTTGATCCTTTTCTAAGATCTTGAGCTGTGAAGTCAAGTTGTTTATGTGAATCTTTTCTTCCGTCATGAGAAATGCTTACAGAGCTATAAATTTTCCCCTTAATACGGCTTTAGCTGCATCCCATAATTTCTGGTAGCTTGGTCTTCATTCTCGTTTGTTTCCAGGTACCTTTTGTTACCAGCTACTATTATTTTGCTAACAATGTCCTCCTTAAAATCTGTTAGCATTTGTTTTAAATATTTAGCTGTTCCCTCATTAGGTGCGTTTACATTTAAGAGTGTGATTTCTTCCTGTTGTACGTATCCCTTGATGAAGAGAAAATAGCCTTCGCTGTCTCTTCTAATCTTTTTCAACCTGAAATTAATGTTGTTGGATACTAGTATGGCCACCCCAGCTTTTTTGAGGGAGCTGTTTGCTTTCAGCATTGTTTTCCA